AAAGGGGGAAAGAAAAAAATTAATGTAATTATGGCTGAAAAATTTTTCAAATTTGGTGAAAATTGTAAACCCACAGGTCCAAGAAATTTAATGAAACCGTAGTAGAAGAAACAAGAAGACTACTCCAAGGCACATCATAATCAAATTGTACGAAGATATTGGAGTGACATTTGTTGCGCTAACTACTGAAATAAAATCCATCAACCTAGAAATCTACACCCTGCAAAAGTCTTTCAAAACAAAGGAAATTATTTTAGATCTATGTTTTTAAAGAAAAAATATTAAAATGTAGTCATTTTGTAATATAGGTTAAAGTATGATACATGGCGGTAATAGCACAAAGGGCAGAAGAGGAGGAATGGAAGTACCCTATTGTAAAGGTCCGTGTTATAGATCAAGTAGTAGAATAGCCCTTGGATGGAGGCTGTATCAATTTAAAGATCTATACTATAAACCCTAAAACAAACACTAAAATAAGCCAGCAAAGGAGAGAAAATGGAATCATAAAAAATAATCCAGAAAAGGCAGAAAAAGAACACAAATGAGAAACAATAGAAAAATAAACACCAAGATGAGAAATTTAATTTTGAACTTACCAGTAGTCATGTTAAATATGAACACTCAATGCCAATGAAGAGATGGAGATTTTCAGATAGCATGTAAAACAAGAAACAACAAGAGTGCCTACACACATGAACTTCTAATATAAAGACCCCCCAATCAGTTAAAAGTAAAAGAATGGATAACTAATAGTATCAAAAGAAATATGGAGTTACTATCAGATAAAATAGATTTCAGAACAAAGGATATTATCAGAGATAAGGAAGGTAATTTCATCATGATAAAGTGGACGTAATTCTAAATATTTATGTTCCTAAAAACAGAGCTTCAAAATACACCAAGGAAAAACTGATAGAACTGCAAGGAGAGATTGTGGAGACAACTCCACAATTATAGCAGGACATTTTGATAACTTTTCTCAATAATTGATTGAACAAGTAGACAATTAGGGATACAGAAGGTTTGAACAACCTAATTGAGAGATCATCTCTCCCAGCAACAGTAGAAGGCACATTCTTTTAAAATGCGCATTGGGGGGCGCTTGGGTGGCTCAGTTGGTTAAGTGTCTGCCTTCAGTTCAGGTCATGATCCCACATCTGGCTCTCTGCTCGGCAGGGAGTCTGCTTCTCCCTTTCCCTCTGTGATCTCTCTCACTTTCGTGCTCTCTCAAATAAATAAAATCTTAAAAAAATAAAATAAAATGCACATTGGGGTGGCGCTGGCTCAGTCTGAGGAGCATGCAATTCTTGATCTCAGCATTTTGAGTTTGAGCCCCATGTTGAGTGTAGAGGTTACGTAAAAAAAAAAAATACATGTGGATATTTACCAAATACATGGAACATATTCTGATATGTTTTGGGACACAAAATAAGTCCTGATAAATTTAGAAATAATCAACTCATATAAAATATTTTCTGACCATAATGGAATCAAATAAATCAGTAACAACAGAAAGGTCACTTAAAATCCCCAAATATTTGGAAACTAAACATACTTCTAACTAAGTCATGGATCACAGAGGTAAGCAAAAGCAAAATTAGAAAGTATTTTGAATGAATAAAAATGAATAATGAACTTATCAAAATTATCAGGATACAGGTACAGCAGATCTTAGGAAGATATTAATAGCATTATATACCTATATTACAAAAGAAAAAAATCTAGATCAGTGGCCTAAATTTTTGTCTTTAAAAAAAATAGGAAAACAAAAGCAAATGAAATCCAAAGCAAACAGAATAATAAAGATCAAGTTGAAATCAATGAAATAGAAAACAGAAGAACGATAGAGAACATTAATGAAACCAAAAGTGAAACTTAGGTGGACCTAAGTTCTTTTTAGCTTTAAAATTTTGTAATTTGAAACACAGAGAAAATACTCTCCTTATTTACCTACAGATTTACAATTATTTGAAAAAACATTTTTTGAAAGTCAAGATGTATAGTAAATTAGCACAATTAAAAATAATTTGGAACACTAGCTCACTCAAATTTCAATCCTTTCTTTAGCATCTTTAACACAATAATGAATACCTTTCATAATAAGAATCAGAACCTTTCCAGTGGTTCTGCTGATAGAGTCCCCTCGCTTATCTCTCATTTCCTCAATGTCTGTACCAAGTCTCTGCATCCTTGACTACTTTGTATAAAACAACAACCCCTGTTCTCCTGCATTTATTTCCTTATCCTGCTTTGTTTTTCTCCAAAACTGCTACCACTATCTTTTCCTTTAATATCTTCTTTTACCTAACTAAAAGATAGCTTTCATTAGGGCAACGACTTTGTCCATTTTGTGTACTGCTGTAAGTTCTTGAACAGTGCCCAGCACATAATAGGCATTCAGTAAATACCTGTTAAATGAATTGATCAATTATACATTAATATCCTTTAGATTCTCCTCCCCTCCACCCCACTTGTACAGATTTTCATCTCTTGAATTTGAGAGATTTTGAAAGGTCTGCCTGTTTAATAGAAACTTTCCAGACTTAGGTGTCTAGGTGACATTTTTTGTATCTAGATCACTTCTATAAGTAACAAAACAAAATTAAAACAGTTTGCTGAACACCTAACAATTATCGTCTCATTGAATCTTCCCAACAGTTCAAAGTGAGATGAAATTCTCACTTTACAGACAAGGGATCTAAGGCTTAGGAAATTAAGTAAGGCTTTGAAAGTCACATACAACTAGATTCATACCTAGATCTGCCATACTCCAAAGATTGAGATCTTAAACACTGTACTTTTTCCCCAGTTTCAGATGTATTACTTGCAGAGATAAATGTTAGTTTAACATGAGTATCGATAGGTTTAGCATATTAGGTTAGAGCACAGCAATATTTTGAGGGAAAGAGACTAAGGAAATTTTCCTTAGAGAAGTTAGAGGGTGTGGGAAAGATTTGTGGGACACTTCTAGAGGTTTGTGAATCGGTCTGCAAAGGGGAAAATGACTAGGTCAGGGAAGGAATGAAACATTGAGCATCTAGGAAGGATGGCTTTGCCCAAAGGGATAAAATGATAGGGATGTACAAATTGAGGTTCATGATCTGAGTCATTGGCTGGCAAATTATAACCAGTAAACAAACTCAGTTGGACTCTTAATTTTTAATTGGTTAATCAATAATTGAAAATTATTCCATATGCTTTAAGTTATGTTGTCAAAAGCGGTGATATGAACCTTACACATCATTGATAGGGTATTTTTAAAGGTAATGGAAAGGAGAGAGGAAAGGAAGGAGCGAGGAGGACAGAAGATTGTGTGTGTGTGCTTATTAGAAAAAGATTTTATATACTTTATATATAGAAAAAGATTTTATATATTTTCTATATAATAAGTAATAAAAATATTTGTTTTGTAGTAATTGATACTTTCTTTTGGTTTGTAGGTTTATAGATTTCTACCCATCAGGTTATGTTTATAGTGCTTATCTTAAGCCAAGGTGGCAAACTTGTTAAACTTAAATTGTAATAGCAAAACTAGACTTTCCTTAAGTTGACTAGAAATTATTTGTGTTGGAAGTAGCAAAACACTGTTTTGCATGATATTCATTTTTGGTGTACTTTGTGGTCAGCCGTTTACAGTTAAAGATGGTCCATTTGTCGTTTGTGATGTGAGGCCATTGACAGTCATGTTTAGTTTACACTGTTGTTAACATAAGAACACATTTTACAACTTGTTTTTCGGTGATTTAAAACGACTTATGGAGATCCACTTTGTTGGCACAACTAAGCTTTTGGTCAGGACTTGGATTCTGGATTCTTTCCATATATACCTTTTTTTTTTTTTTAAAGAGAGAATGGGGGGAAGGGGCAGAGGGAGAGGCAGAATGTCAGGTGGGCTTCATACCCAGTGTGGAGCTGGACGTGGGGCTTGATCTCACAACACTGAGATCATGACCTGAGCCAAAATCAAGTCAGATGCTTAACTGACTGAGCCACCTAGGCACCCCTCCATATGCATTTTATTTTGTTGTATTTAGTGTGATATGTTTGAGGGGAGCTTTTAAAGTTAGGTTTACTGTATTCGGATGCCTGTTTTTAGAGGAATTTTTTTATAGCTAGTCCATATCCCACAAAGGATGATTATATTTTTAGGAGTTTTTCTTATTGATTAGAACTGGTTGACAACTGAACTGTATTTTACATTTGAAAAAAATCTGGTCATGTTGGTATAACAGTTAATATGCTTATGATTTATTTGCTGACTTCATTATATAAGAGCTATTGTCATTGTCTTTGTTCTTAAGTTACTTGCTTTTTCAGGCATTTTTAGATTATTTAAAAAATTGATTGTTCCTTTTTGAACCATGTTACCCTTCTACCTAGTCTATATACATATATACATATAGTAATATATATACATATTTTATACTATATATAAAATGTATATAATTTTATTTATATGTGTGTGTACAGACTCATTATTGCCTTAATATGGTTTATATGAAAGGTAGAGAATATGATATGTGTATGACTAGTTTTCACATCTAAATTGTTTCAGGCACAAGATTTAATAGTGGGTCTTTTGCTTTTATAAGACACAAATGATGCAACAACATGGGTGGAGCTAGAGAGAATAATGCTGAGTGAAATAAGTCAGTCAGAGAAAGACAAATACCATATGATTTCACTCACATGTGGGATTTAAGAAACAAAACAAGTAAAGGGGAAAAAAAAGAGAGGAGAGACAAACCAAGAAACAGACTCTTAACTATAGAGAACAAACTGATGGTTACCAGAGGGAGGTGGGTGGGGGGATGTGGATTAAAGAGTACACTTGTCCTGATAAGTACCCCACGATGTATGGAATTGATGAATCATTATCTTTACTCTTGAAACTAATATAACACTGTATGGTAACTATACTGGAATTAAAATTTAAAAAGAAAGACACACATATGATGTCAGTGTTCTTTTGCAAGTAATATATTTTCTCCTTGTTGTAGGTCCTTTTGTTCTGCATCACAGCTGCCATGTACATGTTCTTTTTCAGGTATGTCCTGTTATACCTATTTATTTTAATAGAAAAAATAGGGTTCCTTTGTGGTTTTTAAATCAGCCTTGTAACTAACGTTGTTCCCTAAATAATTATTTCTCACAAGTAGCACAGGATTTGTTTTGTCTTTGTTTCCTTCCTCTAGGATTGTTAGAGATAAATCACTGCTTCTTAGTGAATAGAAGAGAGGGAAAAAAGATTTGTTTTGTTTGTTTGTTTGTTTGTTTTTCATATTCTCCTTACAGGTTCATCTTGGAAAGCTGAATATATAAATTAATAATCTTAAATACTGATAAGTGAGTTTTTGTTTTTTGTGGACCTGATTTTAGATATTCTTCACTCTCCAACATTTTAAATCAATTTAAGTCAATATTTTAAATTTAAATAAGAAATTTAAATAAATTTAAATAAGAAAAAAGTGATGGTAGGGCTTAATCTAAATCTTCTGCCAAGGTAACCTAGCACATTAATCATTGTCTTTAAAATATTAAATTAGTCCATAATGTCAGAGTTGTATTTCTCATTGACATTGAAACTGTGAGGCCTGTGGAGGAGTGTTAGGATGGCTCAAGATTTCAAGGCCAATGAAAAGGATACCATTGTTCTATAACCATAGCAGTACAGGAAGAGGATTTTGGATTGGGAAGAGTCCATTCCTTCCTAATCTTTATTGTCAGTGATACCAGTAATTCCCATTTATTTCAGTCTTATTACACTAATTTGAATAGACTTTTTCTTGATTTTTCTGGATATAGGCAGAATTCAGTCACAACAGGAAGGACCAAACTTTTAAAATTAAAATTTGTACTTGATTGACAAAAGCAATTACAGATTTTAATAAGATATATTTGATAGATATCTTAATTTTTTCTTTTTACCTAAATCAGACAATTCAACCATACCAGAATTTTAAAACAATTTCCTGCCAGAACATCCTAATAAATATTTGATAAGCACAATGATAGGATTTTAACTTATTAGGACTTTATCCAAAATTTTACATGCATATTTAAAGTGATGCTGCTGTTATTCTTGTAAAGGGACAGCCAGGCCATTAGAAGGGAAAAATGGATCAGATTTCAAGGTAGGGAGAACTTGATTTGTAAAGGATTGGTAATGGCTGCATAATATTTTTTGTCAGTTATTAATGACTGAAAAATCATTGCAGCTCTCCAGGGGTCTTTGTGAAATTGTTTGAGCTACCATATGGTTTCTTTCTTATATTTTAACAATTTAGGGGTGTCTACCATATGGTCTCTTTCTTATATTTTAACAATTTAGGGGTCAGGTAGAGGAGTTAGGGACAATGACTATCATTTCATCAATTTCCCCCAAAAATTGCATATTGTATTCAGATACATTATTAGGACAGTATGTAAAAAGTTCACATGGTTGATCTTTATATCTATCTAGTCTGAAGGTAAAGCATACCTAGTGGGGAAAATACAAAAAAGAGAAAAACTTAGAAACCTATCTTTTGTTGACATGCACAGGTGGAAAATACAATATCAAGTAAATTTTCTTTTTGTGAAAATTCCTAAAAGAAGATAGTTAAATGCAACAGTCCTTCCAGTCTGACACTTAAAGACAGTGTATTTGATCAACAGTTAGCATTTCTTAGTCGTCAGGTTTTGAGGTTTAAAAAACAAATTGTATGTTGAATATAGTGATAATGCCCAGGTTTTAGCTTGGTCTTCGGAAATCATACTTTGAAAACTGCTGCCATCAACGTAGTATTTTTGGTGTAGAAAGAAAATCAGCCCTATAAATATGTATTTTGGTGTAGAGCTATGAAACCTTTTCCTGTTTCAGTCACAAAGTCTAGGTTAAAAACAACATTTTAAAATACTTTCCAGAAGGCTCAATACAAGGTTTTAGTGCCAAGATAAACATTTTCAGTTTTCTGAGGAAAGGGCTTGTTTTCTCCTAAAAGAAGCACTATCACCAAATTCCTAGTGTTCTTGGCAGAAGTTAGTTTGAATAACTCAACAAAAGAGGTTTGGCAAATGGTAAAATAAAACCATTTATAAAGTACTACAATCAAACAAAACAATGTTACATGTTTGTCTGAACTCTGGCCTGTGTTTGGAATGAACAAACAACATTGTACATAGCAGTTAGCGAGTCTGATTGCATTAAAATATTTATTCTTAAAACTCAGTTTTATATATAGATATTTGAGGTCACATTTTTTCCATTTATTAACAATTTTAATTCTAATTGCTTAAAATGGGTAAATATCAAATGATATTGTCCCTAGGTTTCCATTTATACTAATTTCCTTTGAGAAGAGAGGATAAGGGAATCATTTTATGTTAGAAATTAATCAGCTTGTGTTTTTATCCTAACCTGTAAGTGGGAAAAAGGGAAATGAGACCCCCTTTCAATAGAGAGAAAATGTGCCAATTTTATTTATTTAAAGTAGGAACTTGAGGAAGTAGTTCCATAAGTATTTTCTAAAAGTGACATATCGGATGTGATGGTTATAGTATGAATTTACTTAAAAAGTAATGCAGTATTCTTAGTATTAAAATGATGGCTATTAAAATGTGTAATGAAAACATCTTACTTTTGAGTAGTTCTTTTGTTATTTTTTAATAGGTACAGTTTTCTTTTCACATGCATTTTCTCATACACAGTGATCTTGATTTTCAATCTGTACATCAGAAATAAGGCTTACATTCAGATAGAATTCTGAGAAAACTTCAGAGGCTTGGGTTGAGGAACTGTAATACGTGAAGAGAATTCTAGTTCTTAGCCAGCTGGCCATCCATCCATCCAGGTGTCTGTTGATACCAACATATGCTGCAGATTCTGTTAAGAACTGGGGTACAATATTTTGAAGATATCTTGAAAGAAGTCTTTCTGTACAACCCCCAGTGGGCATTCTTCATAATGATTCTGCTTCCGTTGTTCAATCATGTTATTATTTTGTATGTTGTTGTCATAACTTTGTCTTAGAGCATGTCTGTCACTATGAAGCAGAAGTCATAGTTGAAAATTTGGTAGAATATTTCTTCTCATGCATACCTTTAAAGCACTTTTTTTTTTAACTTCTAAATGTATACTTATGGATAAAGCAACCTGTTTTGTTTGTTTGTTTGTTTTTAAGTCAAGGATTTATTGTAGTTGTTGATTCAGGCTTGATTAGGATCTTTCCAACAGTCATGTGGAGAGAAGAAATGAGTCTCTTTTGAACCATTAGCTCTTTCCTTTTTTTAACTGAAAAGCAAAGGAGAGAATTAACAACAACACAAACAGCATGCCAAAACTAATACACATAATCCTGCTAACAAAAAACAATGAAACATGCTACACTTTTAAACAACTTATTTATTGGTTTTATTTTCAACATTAGGTATCTGTGTACGGAGAACACATAGTTTAGAAAAGTGAAATAATTCAGTTTCACTTTTCTTTAATAATTTAATTTAAAATAGACAGTATCATAAAACATATCATGACAACTTTGATCCCATCCTGGTGAGTACCTAGCTAGAAATTCTTTCCACCTGCCTTTGCAAAGGCAGCAACAAATCCAACAGTTTGTTTAAACATGTAGATTGAAAGGCTCAGACGTTGTCATAGCAGATAATCTACAGACTGTGTATAACTGATTCACAGGAGACATAACTTAATCTGCTATAAACATTGAAAAACATTGTATTTTTATTTAGAATCTAGTGCAAATTAAAGTTGATTGTTGTTGTGTTTAAAACATTATTTAAAGGGACGCCTGGGTGGCTCATTCGGTTAGGCGTCTGCCTTCGGCTCAGGTCATGATCCCAGGGTACTGGGATCGAGTCCCACATCAGGCTCCTTGCTGAGCAAGGAGCCTGCTTCTCCCTCTGCCTGCCTCTGTCTCTCTCTCTCTCTGATAAATAAATAAAATCTTAAAAAAAAAAAACAAAAAACATTATTTAGAAACAGTTTTGATGCCTGCCATGGATGAATTCTGGTCAACTCTCTGTGAATGTACAAATAATAAACTGTTTCATTAGTCTCAAGATAATGGATGTATTTTGTTTTTAAGAAAATGAAATGACACTATTCATTGGTTATCTGCATTTTGAGTGAAAGACATTTGTGATTATCCTTGAATCTCCTAGTGTAAACGGAACCTAGTATCTTTGAAGTGACTTTAACAGCAAGTAAAGAACTTTTGATCTGGGTCTTTTATTGATTTTAACAAAAGCCCTTTAAATATCAATTAGGTTCTATTTTTTAAAGTACTGCCTAAAACTACACAGAAATCCAGTCTAGAAAATTATATATGGCATTTGAACTTTAAAAGTTTTACTTCAGGATTAGGAGAGTTTGTCCTAATGAGGTTTGTATTTTGAAGAGATTTCTTCCAGCAAAGCAGAGAGTGAATTGGGGGCTTGTAGGGGGCATAATGGCAGTTAGTGGGAGGATACTGTTGCAGTTATCCTGGAAGAAAATGGTGGGGGCGTGACTGAAGGTAATAATAAACATAGTAAAGAGTGGATCTATATGAGATATGAGTATTGATGCTTGGATAAAGAAGAGAGAAACACTGGAAATTAGAAAATTAACAAATTAGAAAATGTATGGAAATTGAGTACAGGTTTTGCAAATACTGAGACTGAAGTGCATTTAAGACATTCACATTAAGAGATATAAATATATATCACTTAGGTATTTGGAGATTAGGAGATAAATAGAGGCTATGCTTGATTGTCACACCAATTGGTTGAGTAGAGACAAATTATACAACTTCTGTGTGCTTAGTTTTTTCTTTATTAAAAAGTATAAATTATTATATGGATCTCTTAGGTCGGCTTCTGGTGATTAAATTAGATAGTGTCTTTCAAACTTTTTTGAATATGACCCAAAATAAGAACTACATTTTATATTGTGAATACACACACACATAAATTTTCCAGAATAATACTTAACCTTACTACATGGAATATATTTTTTATTCTAATTTATTTTGTTTATTTAAAAAGCTGCTTTTCACACCAGCAGTGTGA